AGGGCAATCTCTTCCTCCAAGTCATCATTGGCTTCATTCACCTTGCTCTTCCACTTGTCTTCAACTTCGGCTTGGAGAGCAATGCACTTCTTAGATGGTGAGGCTTCCTCCATCTCCTTCTTCTTCAACTTGTACATGTCATTGGTGTTGATCTTCCCCAAGAGGCTTGCGGGTGTCATCCTTGACATGTCGGAGTTGATGAGCATGGCGATTAGGGTCTCATACTTCTCCGGTAGAGCACTAAGCATCTTTTGGGCAACCTCAAGATCGGTGTAGGTTGCCCCAAGCCCCTTGAGATCATTCACAATGACATTGAGCCTCCCATACATGTCATTCACACTCTCATGAGGCAACATTGAGAATGTCTCATATTGGATCTTGAGGAAATGAAGCTTGGCATCCTTGTACTCACTTGTGCCCTCATGGATCTCCGCCAACTTGTTCCAAATCTCATATGCGATCTTAAGGTTGCTCACTCTATCGAACTCCTCTTGGCTCAAAGAGTTGAACAAAGCATTCATGACTTGAGCATTGAGTAGGAGGTTGCTGTGATCAATCTCCGTCAAGGGCGTGCCGGTGAGATAGCAAAGCCTACATCCACAATACTCCAAATATGGAAGCTTATAGCTTTGAGGTGAGTAGACATTTTAATTTTCCAAGTGGAGTAGTTTGTGGTATTGAACATGAGAGCCTTCCCTACATGGTTCACCTCGTTCGACATCTTCTCTCTAGGCGGTGAAGCCCAATCAAGAGAGACCAAGCTCTGATACCACTTGTAGGATCGAGATGTCGACTAGAGGAGGGTGAATAGGCGATTTAAAATTAAATGACACCTAATCAAAACTAACCTAAGTTGCTAGGCTCGGTGAGGGACAAGTCTAACTAAGCAACTAAGTTATGTTTTGCAATCCTAGAGTGAAAGTGGCTCAAGTATATCACTAGGAAAGTAAATCACAATTCCTAAGTCTAGTTTAGCAATCCTAGGGTGAAATGATCTCAAGTATGTCTCTAGGAATGTAAATTGCACAAATGTAAATGCGGCAAATAAAAAAGACAATGAGACGAGGAATTTCTCACCGAGGTTCGGAAACTCGCTGGTTTCCTACTCCCTGTTGAGGCGAGCCCAACTCCATCGCTCAACCACGAAGCCACCGCACGCCCCCTTCGTCAAGGGGTGGGCAAGGCGGGAGCCGGCCCACGGAGAGGACAACCCAAGCCTCGATCACTTGGGGTAGTTCTTCCTTCACTCCAAAGATGGTGAACTCCAAACCACTCACAACCGGCGCCGGGCCTCCTCCACAATCTTCTCGGAGAGGTCACCGAGCAACTTCTCCACAAGCCGTCTAGGAGGCGGCAACCTCCAAGAGTAACAAGCGATGACCCGGCTCGGAGATGATCAAGTGCCACACTAGCTCTACAATGGAAGCAATGCACTTGACTCTTGGCTAAATCAACCTTCAAACACACTAGATGGATGAACACAAAGCTCAAGTGGGTGTGTGAGATGCAAGGGGTGTATGCAATTGAAGTGGATGCCAAGAGAGTCCCCTTGCTGCTAGTGGGGGAGTATTTATACTCCCACCAACCAAAACTAGTCGTTGGGGGCGAAATCCCCCAACTCAGTGTATTGTCGGTCTGACCGGAGGTATGTGGCCGGTCAGACCGTGCTACCCTACAATCGCTAGTTTTATAGCCGTTGTAGCTCTGTCAGAGGGCCCCATCGGCCTAGCCAGTCAGACCGACGTTGAGTGGCCGGTCAGACCGGCCTCGGCTCGATCAGACCGCCCTCAGCTTGGTCTGACCGAATACGGCTCCGGCGACTCTGTATCGGGCATCCAAGAGCACACCATCCCGGCCACCAGGGGGCTAGTCAGACCGTACAAGTGTTGCCTGTTAGACCGGCCATTCATGTCGGTCAGACCGCCACTAGGTGGCCGGTCAGACCGGCTTAGTGCACGTGGTCAGACCGGCCCTGGTCAGGCCGAACTCAGTGAATAGAATGTGTGTGTTGTGAAATGTGAGCACAAGTCTAAATGCATAATGACCTAATGTGGCAATTAAGATCATCTCTTTGCTAGGTCATTACCCCTCTTAATAGTATGGTGAAGCTAAAAATAAACTAGCAAATTTGATTGCCCTATACCTCGATCAATTTAATACTAAAGCACTAGTTTTACCATCTTCTTTTCTTCGCTTCGCGCCATCAAATTTTAATCCATCGATAATCATCCATGCGCACATATGACGTGGTACTAACACAAAATATATAACTCAAAGAGAAACGGTTAGTCCACAATTAGCGCTTGTCATTAATTACCAAAATTAACAACGGGCGCCTTAGTTTTTTTTATTTTTTCTATATTTAATGCTCCATACATGTGTCCAAAGATTCGATGTGATGTTTTTGGGAAAAAATTGGGAACTAAACAAGGCCTATATAGACGTATCTCTTCTCTTCTATACTAGCAAATATGTCCGTGTGTTGCACCGGGTGAATATCAACTAATTATGAATGGTTAAGATTGCTTAGGTACTTATAACACATATGCATAAAAATCTTGAATTTGTACATACCTCGCAAATATCTCCAAATTATACTGGGAAATATAAAAACATATTTCATATTGTATACACATTCAGATTCATGTCGCACATGCGTGAGATATTCCAAATTTTCTACACATTCAGAACATATTCCAACTTTCACAAATTTTCACAAACGGGGGCAGTTATAGCTCTGGCTTCACCTTCCTCTGCAAAAGAGAAAAGGTAAAGGCATCCGCAATGGTAAAGAAACATGCACTTTGTAATATTGAAATAAAATTCACTCAAAAATCTTTAGCGGAATATGTTCAAATTCTAGAAATAATTTAATATTTAAAGAAATAATAATTATCTTTTCATTGGTTTAATTTATCTAAAAATAATTTACCGAGTGATCAAATAATTGATCATAATTTCCCAGCAATTTAAAATGTAAATAGTGCCAAACAAATTTCTGTAAATCTAAAACTAAAATTAAATCAGTTGCTTAAAAAATAAATTGATTTCGGCCTAAAAGGCTCAAACCGACATGGCACTCTGTGGCATACAAGCGTGTGTCATGGCGGCCTAGCCAGGCTAGAAGGCCTAGCGAACAGTGCGGGCAGCCCAATGCAAGAGAGATGATGGTCGTCTGAGATTCTAGCCGCTCCGCTGAAATTGTGGGGAAAACCTAGCCCAGATTCTTCTCGATCCTCTTTCTCCCTGACGATGAGCAAGCGAGAGAGAGGAAACGGCGATGGTGGCGGTGACGGCAGTCCAGCGAGGTGGCACCCGCGCGGCGGGGAATCCATCGCGCGGCTCCAACCTTCGGTCGATTGCCGAGGGACAAAACCCAAATCCCATTCTCTTCTCCCTAATCCCCTTCTCTCTGGCACGTTCGAGCAAGCGAGCAGCAGCGATGGTGGTCCGGTGAGGTGGCGCGCGCGCAGCGGGGAATCCGCCATGCGGCTCCAACTCTTTTCCGGCTGGGGGCGTTGCGGAGAACGGCACCTAGCCGTGCCTCTTCCCGTCCTTCACGCGACAATGGCGCGCTAGGTCAGTGGGGTCATGACGGCGGGCATGTGGCGGAGCTGGTGCAACTGCGAGGAGGAGGTGGCAAGCGCGTGTCGAGGCACGCGCGGGCGAAGAAAACGCCCATGGGACGATGTTGTTTCCCAGCGTAGGGCCAACTGTGTGGCTCCCACCGGTGGATTAGGCCTCCCCGAATTGAAAAAAAAAGATTAATTTGATTCAAGGATTTGGGGGTTTACTTAGGTTTTTCTCAATTTGGCATTTCGGGGAATTTCCCCCCTATGGTTCGATTATGTCGGTTTCAAGCTATCTATCCCTCCTAGATATTTTTTTTTATTATTGAGTTCGATTCAGATTCCATGACTAACACAGATGTCACACCTGGAGTTTTCCCCTTTCCCGTAGTTCTAATTCATCAATAAATCGTCTATAGAAATTACTTTGGTTAACCAGAAGAAAAACCTTAATTAACAATGTATTTAATAATCGGAATTGTTAGGGATATTTTTTTTTCAAATTCTCTTTGCTCTAAAATCATTAACATGACTTAACCCAGAATATTTAGAGTATCGGAGTTAATGTTGATAATTTAATTTGTCAAGATTTGAATTAATGATAATCTTTCTCTCCCGCCTTTAGTCGTGAATCGTGCCCGATTCACTCCCCTCACTGTCCGCTGTTTCGTTTTGCATGGCGAGCCGTGTCCGTTTTCGTTCTTTTCCTAAAACGGCACTGCATTTATTTTCCAATTTGGGAAAGTCCTAATCCTATTCTCCATATCCCTATTTTCCCTCCCCCTCTCATCCTCCCACTCGGCCGCCGCCTCCCCCTCTCCCCTGCGCGCTTCTCCACTCCCTTGTCCGATTCTCTCACCCTCCTTGCCGGCCATGGCTTCCCTCTGGCCCCACCTCTTTTATTCCACCCCTATATAAGCCATCATATCCCTGTTTTTTTTTTTTCCTATTTTCCAATTTATTGGAGCTCTAGCCCTAGCCGCCGCCTCCTACACCACCGCCGCTAGCCACCACCGGCCGCCGGTGAGCAGCCCTCCTCTCCTGGCAGTATGGTTTGTCGTCGTGCGTTGTCCCTAGGGTTTAATCTAACCTAATCCCTCGTTGTCTAGTGTTGTTGTTGTCTCCGCCAGATCGTCATCGCCATCTCCTCCTCGCCAATCGTCTTGGTTTGGTGAGGCTCCTAATCATGATCCCCTGGTTTAGGTGTTTATTCCCAGGAAGTTTGCATTATCATAGCCACCATGCTCATTGAAACAGTTTTCTTCACCCGCTTTTTGCTAGCCCACCGTACATTTGGGCTAATCGACAACAATGCTAGTCCATCGTACATTTCTGCTAATCGACAACAATCCAGTATATTTCTGAGATAAATATCGATGAACAGTATATTAAAAAAAAATTCCTCTATTTGACTAAACTGCTTTTGTGAACTGCCAATGGTGCCTTAGCACATATCTGATTTTACTGTTTTTTCCAACACAAGAGAAGCAAATTGCAGTACATACAACCAAGTATAAAATAAGATGGTCTGGACAAGGTAGGAAATCACTGATACTAAACTAACCTAGGTATACAATGATACTGTTAGAGGGGTTCTCCCTTCAAGAAAGGCAATATTTTGCTGTCGAATATTTGGCCTACTCCAAGCATCAAAACTTCAGAACGCAACGAAGAAAAGACCAGCAAATGTTGCTAGTCCTCATCAGAATCACCAAACGTAATCTTTGTTGATTTAGGAGCATCTGCTTTGATTTCTTTGAAATGAGATCCATATATTTGCGATTCCTGCAAATGAATTGTTAGCAATAAGGTAAGGTCATTTCTCAGTCATGTCATGCAAAGTCCTTAGTGTTTATTTCTTAGAACTTGCAACGTTAGGGCAAGGTGTTACAGCATTTCTAAGGATTAATGTAAAAAAGTAAGTCGCTAAGCTTTCTGTAGCATAAAGCATCAGCATATATAACAGTATTTTCATAGATTGAAACGATTTCTCGAGGACATATTCCTAGTTAACTAGCACGGTAGTACCTATAGACATGAACAAAGCACTCTACGAATGAGAATGTAACAAGATCTATTTCACAGTTAACACAAACCTTTTTCTTGACGTGTGTGCCAAATTTTGTAAGTGCAGGAGGAACGACCTGACCAGCCTCCCGCAAAACATTGACAAGTTCACCAGCAAGTCCCTGTATATAGTTTTGAAGTGACAATAAGTACAACTTAAGTTGTAAGGCTAAACCTAAGGGCTAACGTGTGGCACATAATCTCCAATACCTTGTTCTCTTGAGTGAAGAAGGTATGTGCAACACCTTTCTTGCCAGCACGACCGGTCCTCCCAATCCTGTGGACATAATCCTCTGTAGTCAAAGGATAGCTATAGTTAATGACAACTTCGACATCTGGAATATCAAGTCCACGGGATGCGACATCAGTGGCAATCTGCAAAATATACAAAAGAAAAAAAAACAAGTGTTAACAGATGAGAATAAAAGTGCTACGGATGCAATGATAAAAAGGAAATAAATTCATAAAAACACAATATTTTCAGACAACGGTTGCAGACAACTGTACATTTCTGTTACAAAACCTCAGTAGCATATTTTAAGTGAGACTATCGGTTAAATGATTTCACATACTCCAAAATTTATCATACCTCAACTCTTGGCTCGGTTTGATTTCCAACCGTCAACTCAAAAACTTGATAAAACCAGACCCTCAGCTCCCAAAACCAGCTAGAACTCATTTCTCTTCTAGTTTATGTACTTGGCATCCACGTGGGATCCTAGGTGGCACAGGACTCATTTGTCATGGTATACATGGTTTCAAGAGTTGAGGGATGGTATTTACTTGGTTTAGGAGTTAAGAGATGAAAATTAAACCGAGCAAAGAATTCAGGGATGAGAAAGACTTTTTCCTTAAATTAATAACAATGTTGCAAGCAAGTAGTTGAACACTTCCAACTCTCAAAGTATCATCGATCAGGAAATAGTAGCAGAATACCACCAAGCCCAACAAAATCCCTTAAGGGATAAATAACGAAACCACAACTAGATTTACAAGGGCAAAGTCTAAAAACTAGATTTACACTAAGCTCACAAATAAGCAAGAGAGAGTAGCCATTAAAAAACCACAACTGAACTATCAATGCTTATAAGCAGCCATGTAGAAATTAGTTAGAATTAGCGCACCATCAAAGGACATGACCCTTCTTTAAATAAAGATAAAGCTTTCGTCCTGTCATGCTGTGCCTTATCTCCATGAACAGAAACAGCACTCCAACCCCTTCACAACAAGCATGTGTAGATTAGCGAAAGTAGAGCATAAGTTTCACAAATATTTAAGTCGCACACTGGAAACAAATCTGCTACCTTCTTTGTAACATTGTTTCTACTCGCGTAGCTTCTCTCTTGTACAACACAAAAACCAACACCCTGTTTCTGTTGCACAAAACACAGGCACAATCTGCTTAGATCCATATGAAGACAAATGGTGATTAATTAGTTTGTTGAAGCAGATATTAGTATAATACTAACATGTGCAGAGGTTCAATTAAAACCTAACATTGAATATATTTGTTTGTTTGGTGTTGAAAATGTTGTTATGTTTTATATAAACTTGGTCAAAACTTAATAAGTTTGACTTAGGAAAAAGTTAAAGCGTCTTATAATATGAAACGGAGGGAATACTTCCTTAGTTTGCCAAACTGAGATAGCCTACAAATAGAATTGAACAATCAGCTTTGGTATGTGACTGAATACAATCCAAAGTAGAAAATTTTGCAAGACGAGACGAATGACATGCAATCTTATACATAATTTTCTAAGCTGCTCAGCTTAAAATCTTTTGTTATCCTCAAGAGCATCCAGCATGCATGCTGATTGCAATGCTTTTGCCTATGATTTTCGAAAGTGAGACTTTCATGGAGACTAATACAGCAACAAGTAAAATCCGTACTGCAATACCTACCTCTGTGCTTTATGGTATTTATCGAGCAAAGCAACTAATCTTGAATCCCTTGACCTGTCATCCAATACTTCAACAATTTGCATCACATCATGGTTAGCAGCAAGATCTTCTGATCCAATAACAACCTACAACAAGGTGGCATACCACATACGGAAGGTCAGCATTACCGCATTAGCAATCAGATATTAACAAGAGATAAGAAAAGAGAAACTATACCTTTATTGGATTTGGATCCATAAACTCTTGGGCTAGCTGGTGGACAGCAGGAGGCCATGTAGCACTGAACATAACCGTCTGACGTACTGCACAGGAAGAATTATATGGCCATGGTTGCAGATATATTCAGAAAAGATAACTAGGTGTAGTAACACATAAAATAAATGGCAGTGTCAAATTGACATGAAAAAAATGTACAAATGTATTCCACCTACGCGGTATATTCATCACAATTTCAATATCATGGTAAGTAAAATATGCCAAGAGTTATGAATGCCATGAGGCTAAAGTGGTTTTTTTAGCAACGTGATATAGAAGTATGAAAATCTTGAGAACAATATTTCTTGCTCATTTCTGCCGTCACTAGTGGCTATTAACTTATGAGCACAAGTGTGCTGAATAAGGTATTAAAAACTATGGAGCAAGAGGGCACATGCAACAGACTTTGTGGATAAGTCCAACCAGATAAAAAGGGATGAAAGGAAAAGAATACATGCGATGCAAAGGTGGACATGCACATACACATGCCCTGAAAGGAAGAGAGTAATGGAGACAAACCAGATGCAGTTTGGCTTAAAATTGCTCTGACTTCAGGTTCAAAACCCATATCCAGCATTCGATCAGCTTCATCTAGAACCTTTATCAGTTACCAGACACGTCTGTGTTAGAAAGGACACTTACACTTCAAATGAGCAAAGCAATTAAACAGAATGAAAATTGACCAGCGCAAAATAAAAAATCCAGGTAACATCACAGGTGTAACTTATTGAACCAATATTTACCATTGACTATGACCATCCTCACGAGTCAAGTCCAGTTCAACAAAGGGGAGTAGGGGACAGAGGAGAGAGGGCATGGAAGAGACAAGAGGAAATACCACTCAAATCTTAAAATGCCGAATCTGTTAGTGCTGGTAGGTTCCACAACCCTGATCTTGTGGATGAAAATACATATACATTGGTGTGTCACTTGTATTGTCTTCTATAAATGACTACATTATCTGCTTATGTGTATATGCACTGTGGCCATTTAACCCAATATGAACTATGTACACTAGAAACCAGCATAGTTCCTCAGCCATATTATTCTTAGGTAACAGCAAATTCAAGTTATAAAAATGATATAATTCCTTTCATGTTGTGCATTATTAATTTTATGAAACAATCATTGACCAGTCAACCCAACTACTCAAATTTGATGGAACCAGGTGAGCCTTTAATGCCAAACTTGTGGCGTTATTATCAAGGGGGTAACACCAAAAAAAAAAAAAATCAGCGAACAAAGCAATCTTGACATGAGTGTTGCTACAACACCACCGAAAGATCAATCATGCACCTGCGTTTCTCTCTAAGCTTGTCCCATGTTAAGAATCTTAGGGTCTGTTTGGTTGTTGCCTAACATTGCCACAACTCAATTTGCCATAGGTGTGGCATGGCAAACAAAGTGTGGCCAACAATTTGTTAGGTGCAATGAAGTTCTCCGGCCTCCAATGTAATACAACAAATAGATTCAACAACTGCACAAACATATTGTTTGTTAACTCAAAGTAACACTCAAACATCAATGACAAACTTCACAAATAAATAAAATTATATATATATATATATATATATATATATATATATATATAGAGAGAGAGAGAGAGAGAGAGAGGACATATCGATGAAAATGATCTAAATGTTGGAAACTCGTGAAAATCATACCTAAAAGTTTTGTAAATTCATGAAAAAAAATTACTAGAGATTGGTGTAGATATGAAATACATTCTCACCAAATCTCAAATCCAAACTCAACTTCATTTAAGAGAAACAAAAAAGACAAATTTCGGGTGAATAGTGTCATGTTACTATTCACCTGAAATTTGTCTTTTTTGTTACTCCTAAACGAAGTTGAGTTTGAACTTGAGATTTGATGAGAATGTATTTCACCTGCACCATGAATCACAACCATTCAATCATTCCAAGATGCGTGCTTCCTAAATGGACATTACTTTCACAAATGAAGAGTTACTATAGGAGAAAAGATCAAGGAGGTACATGATGCATGTGTAGCTCTGGCATGGGACATGTAGTTCTGGGCAGAGATAGAGGAAGTTGACCACACATCATGTAGTATTTATCCTTCATTTGAATATTGTTTCTTTTCTCTTGTTATCCATGGAATTTAGCATATATAACCATTTATTTAAATGTTTAGGTATAAACATTAACTTCTTTACTAACTAGTCCATATAAGTTTGAACTTAATTTGAATAGTTTTTTTGTTAAATTTTGATTCTAGGTATATAACATCCATCCAAACTTATAATTAGTTAGGTATGTAATAATGGATTGTAAAATAAAGTTGAATTTGAGTTGTTTGTTGCTAGGTATAGGTATGAATAAAATTCTTGTACCTGGGTATATACTCAGAAGTTGAAAAAAATTCAAAAATTTGAGTGAATTTGTGTATTACATACCTTGGTGCCCGGGCACCATGGTGCCCCCATATGGGTGTATACTAATTCAAAACCATAGACAACAACACAATGAAATGCATAGTTAACTTACCACAAAAGAAACATCATTAAGACGACAAATACCCATTTCAATAAGGTCTTTCATACGACCAGGTGTCCCTATGACAATATCCTGAAAGCATATAGGCAGAAAAAAGGGGGGGGGTCAGGAATATGAGTATTTCCGTGTAACTAACTTCTGGATAATTGATACAAAACAAAATCCAAGGCAGCGAGTCTGCTGAATCTTCGGAAAGTAAACAAAATTATTCAACAATACATTTAAAGAGAACTTTTCAAATCAATATAGCAAATTGAAATGTCATCACAATATGATGAATGTCTCTAGAAATTAACATTCATTGGTCATATATCATAATCCAGAACTGAGATAGAGTAAAAAAAATATTGTGTAAGTCTCATCTTACCACTCCAGATTTAAGGGCAGAAATTTGTGGTCCTTTGGAAGTTCCACCATAAAGGCACACTGAACTTATCCCACATGGTGCACCAGCTTCACAAAGTACATCTGCGATCTAACATATAATACAAAATGAATCATTCATGTGTATTAAAAAGCAGTAGTTTTTGCAGACCATCAGATGCCTATCTTACAAGTTCATATCATCAGTATATGACACCTGCTGGGCCAAACAAACTATATAATCCCATACAACCATAGAAAAAGGTAAAAAATCTGAACATGCAACTCTTTCACTTCAATTTGTTCGATACTAAAGGTCCTTATCAATTAGTTCGATACTCAACGATCTTATCATCAGCAAAATATAGGTTGTGAGCTGAGAGACTACACTTATAAATTAGAGTAAATTTCAGAAAACCTACGTGTTAGGGTCAGAGTTACAAAACCAGGGTATTGCAACTTGTGGCACATAACCTAGGTCATTAGGTTCTAAGGTTCAAAAAAAACCACCGCCCTCAATTTAATTTCCAGATGATACAACATATTGGCAGATATTATAAAGTGTCTATGAAATTGTGTATTACGAATTTATCAAGTAAATTGAAAAAAAATACTATTCCAAAAATCTCCCCCTTTTATATGTGAATCAATTTCTCCTATCCCCACTGGAAGTTGCATACATCCCTTATACTTCCCTAAAAGATTGAGTTCAGGGGTTTACCTGCTGAGCAAGCTCTCTCGTTGGCGATAGCACGAGGACCCGTGGCACCCCCTTCTTAGCAGATTTCTCCCCCATTTTCCTCCTAACGTGCATCAGAGCCGGCACACCAAACGCAATCGTCTTCCCTGGCATCAACAAATTACGACGAACAACAAACCATCAGCAGCAATTCGAGCACGATGCAGCAGTACTAACCAATTAACAAAAAGAAACTAACTAATTAGAGAATTTTTTCAGCACCAGATCCGGTGGCGGCGATGCCGATGAAGTCACGACCGTCGAGGAGGTAAGGCCAGGCGTACGCTTGGATGGGCGACGGACGCTCGAACCCCTTGCAGCAGTCGAGCACCTGGGGAGGAAGCGCGGTGGCGGCGAAGGATGACAGCGGGGCGTACTTGGCGTCCGCGGAGCCCTTCCCGGTCACGGCCACGACCTTCCCACCGCCGTTCTCCGCCTCCTCTCCTTGGCCCAGATCGCCCTTGGCCCTCTTCTTCTTGCTGCTCTTCGTCGCTTCATCCGTGGACGTGGCCGCAGCCGCCTCCACCACCACCACCTCGGCCTCCGCCTCCAGCTTCCGCTTCTTGTCTTTCTTGCTCTTCTTCTCCTTCTTGCTCTTCCTCGATACGTCCTCCTGCTGCTCGGGAAGCATACTGCGACCCATCTCAGCGGCGGTGACGGCGGAGGAGGTGGTGGTGGTAGAAGAGAGGAACGAGGGCGGCGAAGACGGCGGGAAGGTGAAGGAGAAGGGGAAGGGGTGGTTGATTTCTAGGGTTTAGAACGACCAAGGCGCATCACGTGCACAAAACAAATAGATCTGGACCATCCATTTTGAGGGTACAAATAGAAGCCCACAACACTGCGGGTCAGGTTCCCCTTACCTTTTTTGAGTGGTTACCAACATATAGCAGGCCAAACGGGCGGCCCGGCCCAGCACGACACGGCACGCCGACGGCACGGCCCACTAGGGCACGGCCCGTTAGGCACGGCTCCTGTAGCGGGCCGTGCCGTGCCGGCCCACGTGCCAAGGCCACGGCCCAAGCACGGCCCAAGAAGGTGCTGGGCCGTGCCGGGCCGGCACGGCTACTGTAGTGGCACGTGGGCTAGTAGCCGGCCCACTAGTACATGTGGCCCATAAAAATTGAAATTTGAGGGGAAAAAAAGAAAAAAAGGCAGAAAAAACATAATATAAAGGAAAAAATGATAAATATAGGATAAATGTGAGGAAAATTTAGGAAATATATCATAAAATATATGGTACAAATAGGATAAAATGTGGAAAAAAAATAAAAAATATGAGAAATATATGGGAAAAATTAGAAAATCGTAGGAAAAATAAATGGGCCGGTGGGCCGTGCCATGCCTGGGCCGTGCCGTGCCGGCACGCTACAGTAAACGTGCCGTGCCGTGCCAGCCCACGGGCTGAGGCATCGGCCCAAACACGGCACGGGATAACGGGCCGTGCCGGCACGGCCCACAGGCTGGCGTGCCGTGCCGGGCCTGGGCCGGCTACAGTACTGCCGTGCTCGGGCCGGCCCGGCTTGACACGGCCCATTTGGCCAGGTATATACCAACACCACACGGGAAGATGGTTACCGCGAAAATCCGCACAAAATTTGTTTTCAAACATTTGAATTCAAATTTCACTCTTTGGCCGCGGTTACCGCGGTATATGAATGGTTACCGCGAGATATTAGCTAGAAGAACAAAGTGAAGAAAATGCAAAAAGAAAATGCAGGATGTGTGTAGAATTTGGGGATAATAACAATATATATATATATATACACACACAGAGAGACACTTATATGGGGCACCATGGTGCCCGGGCACCATGGTATGAAATACACAAATTCATCCAAATTTTTCAAAATTTTCAAATTGTGAGTATATACCTAGTTATAAGTATTCGATTCATACCTATACCTAGCAACAAAATAACTCAAATTTAACTTTATTTCACAGTCCAATATTACATACCTAACTAATTATATATTTGGATACTATATACCTAGAATCAAATTCTAATAAAAACATGTTTAAATTCAGTTTAAACTTGTTTTGAACTAGTTAGTAAAGTAATTAATGTTAATACCTAAACATTTTTGAAAAATTCAAACTCATTTGAATTGAGTATATACTCAATTTGAATCATGGAGCCCGGGCACCATGGAGCACCAAACAAATTTAATATATATATATATATATATATAAGATACCTGAAAACTTGTGGTTATACAATAGAAAAATTCAGCATGACCTTTTCTATATTATGGACTTGAAATCAATTCAACAATTCATAGCATAATAATTCAACAACAACAATCAACAATCTCAAATTTGAAAGAATAAGGACATTCACATGTAGGTGAATGAATAGAGCCCACAATAACAATAGAGTCCACAATATAATGTCCATGATTACAATTCTAGTTTCAATCAAAGAAAATAAACAGTCCACAATATAATGTCCATGATTAGTCCACAATATAATGTCCATGGTCACAATTCTAGTTTCAATCAAAGAAAATAAACAAGGACATACTAACATATAGCATAGTTATGCGTTCCACTACTAACATAGAGCATAGTTATGCGTTCCACTGATTATATGCCACGTTATACTCCTTTGTGAACATGAGCATCAAGCCATGTGAGTGTGTCAGGGTTATGGATACCACATACCCAATAGTAATCGACTAAGCTCGGCGGGGCCCACCATATAGCAAGTCTTATACGGGATCGTACCTCGTATATAGAAATAGAATTCTATATGGAAACGAGAAGGACTACTCGGATTGTATCCATACTGGTCTCCCTAGTTCTACTTGGAGAAGGGGACATCTATGGGTATAAATACAAGCCCCCTAAGAGGAGAGGGGGACACGCTACAAAGCCACAAGCCAATATAAACCAATACACCGCCAGATATTGACGTTAGAGATTAGTCTAGACAAATCCAATCCGGTGCCTGCGGAGGCCGGCAAGAGGGATCTAGCGCCATCTCTGATCTCGACGAGTTCATATTTGAGGAAGACTACCCTGCCGTCGACTACGAGTTGATTATCCATGTCGCCAAGTCGACGATAGTTAGATAGGTTATCCCAAATATTGTACTAGTGTGATTATGGTGGATAAAGAGCAACATCGGCTTCGGCCAATAGGATGTAGTGCTATTACCTATCAGATAAGGGGCTCGAACCTATATAAGAATCCCTGTCTCCATCTCTTTTACCTCAATCTCGCATATACCGACCAACGATCCCCATACTATCCAAATACCCTAGTCGTGACTATCAAACATCGACAGTGGTGCGCCAGGTAGGGGGATTTTGGTGCTTTAAGGTTTCGACGAGATGGGTTCAAGAGATGGATTCTCCAACAACAAGCTACTTGACGACTTCGGCTGTGGGGAGATCTAACCCGACCGGAGTATACATTCCATTGAGATCGGAATCATCATCGCCAACAATTCGATCTATTGAGATCGTCCAGGCTTCAAGACCTTTGTCACCGCGGAGAATCAACAATATTCGCTGCATGCGGAACTGATTTGATAAGAGCCTATCAAATAGTGCTCCATCTTTCTTCATGAAGAATTGATGACCAAGCCCTTCGCTCGGCGACATCAGCTGGTATGGCTAGTGCGCAAGCATCAGCGGACTAAGTCCAGGCCGAACACGATGCCGTCTCCAAACCGAGCATGCGACGCTTCACGCTGCACGGGGATTCGTCCGAGTACCTGTGCCCTTGTGTTACCGTGTCCTAGCCAGAGATGGTCAATAGAGAGTATTTGCCTAATCAAGTCACATACATATACACACACGTGTGAGTGTATGACAGGTCGGCATGCTCCACAAGACCAACAAATAATCAAGTCCCAGTTTACTGCATACATATGTCTCCTACTGCATACATATGTCTCCTACAGAGTGTAGTAGACAATAACAAGGTAATTAGTAGATTAATTAATTTAATTGACCTACTAATTTCGTAGATACATCCGGCATGTATCTACAAAGGTATGCAATATTTTATATACAATTTACCGTACCTATTTTTCAGATCATACAATATTATCCATGATTTATTATGTTCACCTAGAGCATGTGTTTTATACAACACCTACTGTGCAAGTGTGTCCGATGTTAGGCTGACGACAGTTTAATACTGGGCTCGCCCTATTTTCTTCAGTATAAATCATGTTTGTTTACAGTTTACATAATGTCTGATATTTAATCTGCTCGTTATATCCTGATAATACTAGAAGATTCATGCAGTCTTTTGAGTACATGCCCGATATTCTCTGCTATATATCTTGTCTTCTAGAATTTTTTTTTTCAGGAACAATTGATCACTCGAGTAGGTTGTGGTCGAGTACACCCAATTATTGAGAAGGTTCTTGATAAATGCTGAGTTATCATACCCAACCTACCAACGAAGTCTGACGATCTATCTCATGTATAGTGACGGCCACGGCTAGACTATTTGGGAATAGGTTATTAACGGATAATTCTTCACGAACGTTGTCGGCCTGATTACTCGACATGATTGTGAACAGACGTCCGGATATGCTATAAGTTGGGTATGTGAGTCATGCTGGCCACATGAGATGCATATGTAATATCCAACTCTAGCGCCCCTATAGGTGATTAAGAGATGCCTACTCCTGGTTATCAACCAGACAGTTGCAGCGACATATCGCCGCCTATAAATTTAAATTCACTTGTGGACCGTTGAACTCCATCTATCGTTGTCAAAGACTCCATGTCTCTACACCGGGATCGACCAAGTGAGTATGGCAAATATTGATAAAGGAAGTCGCGGGTAACAAGAGAAGCTTTCGCGAATACGGTTTGTTTCCGTATGCCTATCAGTTGCCTATAGGTGATCGAGATACGCCTACACCTGGTCCTCGACCAGTAGATCGTAGCGATCTCTCACCACCTAAAAATTCATCTTCAGATGATCGAGATACACCTACACCTTGTCCTCGACCAGTAGATCGTAGCAATCTCTCACCACTGTTATAGCAATCTCTGGACATCTAATGCGACAATCAACATTGTCGTGATAGCGACAACCAGGACTGACTAGATCGCCGTTGTCACCAGGACGACAACGTCCAGGACTAACGACATCAGGACGACAACCCCGGACAAGGTTAACGACATCACGACATCATACAACAACGATGAAACTCGAAATCCCCATACTTCTAGAGGGCCCGAGGATGAGGTAGTCGGTCCAGGAGCTGAACCTCCGACTACGATAATTCCTCATTGTCTTCGTCGTCATCAGGAGGCAGTTCTCGCAAGTTGCGAGGACGCCGTCCATCTATTACTCTAGATTCCCTTTAGGTGGTCGAGGTACGACTACGACTGGTCTTGGACCAGCAACGCAACGATCCTCACACCACGACTTCAAGCGATCGAGGTACGACTATGACTAGTATTCTACCAGCAACGTAGCGATCCTCGTACCACGACTTCTAATGGTTGAAGTACGACTACGACTGGTCTTCTACCAGCAACGTAGCGATCCTTGTACCACTACTTCTAATGGTCGAGGTACGACTACGACTGGTCTTCCACCAGCAGTGTAGCGATCCTCGTACCACAACTTACAAAGGTCGAGTTACGACTACGACTGGTCCTCGACCAGCAGTGTAGCGATCCTCTGTAGGATCGAGATGTCGACTAGAGGGGGGTGAATAGGCGATTTAAAATTAAATGACACCTAATCAAAACTAACCTAAGTTGCTAGGCTCGGTGAGGGACAAGTCTAACTAAGCAACTAAGTTATGTTTTG